AACCAAATACATGAAATAAAGTCTTCTTTGCGCATTTGCAATTGCAATAAAGGTTTCAAGAATTTCTTTATAATTATGAGTTTATAACTGTATGTATTTGAATAAAGTTTGTATGATGTACATGTCATTCCTCCTCCTATGTTGAAGCTGAGACTATACATATCTAATTGCGGGTGGCGCGACACGGGAGATACAACTCTCGGATAAAGTTTAAAATTCCTTTTATCTGTTTATGTTAGTCTCAGGTTGAAGTAGGTTTTCAGACGCAAAATGTAATATTTCCGCTGTAATATAATTACGAATTGAGGCTTAATACACTAGTAAATGGAAATGATCAAATATGTATCAACATTTTTCAATCTGCGTGGATTCCGTGAAAGTACACGTAACGATTCATACCTGTATGAAGTATGCTGAAACGGCCGAGATCTGCTTATATATTGATACATGCGCGGCCTTGACAGAGCAAACCTACTAACCCACATACGTGTGCTACTAACCTAGATACGTCTAGCTAATTTGCATAATGTTGTTGCAGTCTGAATCCACTTTCTGGCTCTAAACTGGCTGTTTAAAAAATGGCATTTATTAGTCTATAACTCTGCTATTAGTTGACAGATTTCGAAATAAATAAGACCATGGTTATGCTCGGAACTAAAGCTTTCTGATGGTTCCACTTTGTAGTGACCAAATTGCGAGAAAACTGAGGAAATAGAAGGAAAAGGCGATTTCTCGAATTCCAAGTTTTACATAAGAAATCCTGCGTTCTGATTGGCTGGCTTTCTCGCAGTCCCAATCCACTTTAGCTCTCCAAACTCGCCGTTTTAGAAATGACACTTTTCGGTCTTTTTCCCCGCCATTTCTCGGTCGATTTCTAAAAGCATAATGTCATAGTGAAGCTGACAAAACCAGCTTCCCGATTGTATCACTTTTGAAGCGATCCATGTGCAATAGATAGGTGGAATTCGAGCGTGATAAAGTTTCTCCATAATCGAAGATTCACTTGAGAAATACTGAGGAATCGGGCATTCTGATTGGTCAGTTTTCCTGCATTCTCAAGTCACTTTCCCGACTCTAAACTGAGTTTCTAGAAATGGCACTTGCTACATACGTCTCTTGGTTTTGTTTCTTGGCGAATTGGTTGCTGGACGAAATTATCCAGGCAGCATTGTCCGTCTGAGAACAGTGGTAATGCGAACGGTACTTAGTACTTTGAACGCGATCTAGTAATGACTTAAAGCCGAGACTTTTATACCTAAAACGTCAGTGTAAAGAATGAATCAAACCCAAATGCATGCAGGAAGACGATGTTATTTATAAAAACGATAAAATTAAAATTAAAACCTGTCTGGTTTCATGTTATTCTCGCCTCTGGAATGTCTGAAGAGCACCTTAACCCCCAAAGTACGTTTTTGTCTTTTGCCTAAAATAAGTGAAACTTTGAGAACCCACGGGAGTAATTGCACACGGCAGAATTTAAATGCACGCGAGGAAAAGTTTATTTTATATATGTTCTTCTAATATCAATAAAAAAATTCATGCCATCTCTTTATTTAATATTGCCGAAATTAAGTACAAGGAGGGTCTGTTGCAATTTCACAATTTCAGGGATTTCAGGTTGTAATCGGCCCTTGTGCACTGGAGTAGAAATAAACGATATCTAGGACAAAATATTTCATGTCATTCAATTTAAACCCCCTATTTATGGAAAATACTTTAAAATTGTACTTACTATGGATGTAATATGATTTAATATGAATCTGAAGTCCGGAATTGTTTAGATTTTTACTATACGGCAATTGCCGTATCGCCGTTCAAATGCAGTATGATACGGCAATCGAGCCCATCGTCTCCACTGTTGAAGCGTGGACTTGATAGACTGTGGTGTATGGGCGAGGGTGTGTGCATTAAATCTGGATGAAGATATGGTGGATAGATGAAAGAGGACGGACGGGAGGACAGAGATGGATGAGTTGAATAACCGGAAGCACGTAAGGTTGTATATACGTGTGAGATGGGATATGTGCTATCACGGTGATGGGTGGATACGTGTTTTTTACGTGGGGTGAAGAGGATAAGGCTCAAATGTGAGATATTCATTCATACAAACATAGCCCACACACGAGTAATGATTCATACATTGTTGAATTCATAAACCAATTTCTCTTTTGAAACAATTGACGCTCCTGAGAAGGACCGGGTTCAAAAATAAGATGTAGTTAAATAATGCCTAGGTTAGTTGTATCAGTAAAGCTTGCGAGGGTTGTTGTCAGAGGGTTGAGAAGAGCGTTTTCTCCATCAGCCGCTTGAGACTTGGCTCTCAGGATGAGGGCGTCGCTGAAGGGCTTGTCATCGATGATCTGGATAATTGATGATTCATGTAGATATTGTTCTGTTTTCAGCTTTATTAGTGCGTTGGTGTGGTGGTCAGTTGCAGCAGATTGGAGGTTACGCCCGCAGTGGTCAAGGATGGCCTCCCAGATTGTGCCGATGTTTGTTGTATCAGGGTTGCTGCAGAGGTTCGAGATCTGCGGGCGGAAGCCCTTAAGGACTACCTTTGATTTGTTAGCTTCGTCGAGTACGCTGAGGGCCTTTGTGCTCTTGAGAATGCAGGACTCTATACGCCTAATGGAGTAGAAATCACTTTCAGCGTTGGTGGGACAACGGTCCCCGGATGCATGTTTCTTAAAGACAAAATCTGTAGGTTTGATGCCCAATGCTTCCAAGGTATTTAGTTGGATAATGCCTGAGTTTTTAGGGGCCCTGGATTTTTCAGCCATCTTGCTTGTGCCTGCCGGAATTGCAGTTTGTGTAGGTAGTGATGTGTCTTTGATGTTGTTTCTTATGTTGTCTATCTCTGCCGCTGACATCAGGGGTGAAGTATGCTGAAGCTGAGGATTTCTAAATTGATGCTTTTGTTTCTGCGCCATCTCGTAGTTTAGATGGAAAATGAAATAAGGTGTTTTAGAAATGAGAATAAATAGGAACTGAACATCGTGTACAGGCGTCTCAGGGTATTTATAGTGTTGGGGTGGATTGAGAATGCAGAGAAACTGGTTGGTTGTTGGATTTTTGCGCGGACGTAAAAGAGCTTCTGGTGTTGGCGCGTTTTTGTTGAGGGGCTGTGATTGGTTGAAAAGCGTGGACGTAAAAGATTGAGTTTTGGTGGCATGATGTCTGGAAAAGGACAAAATTTCATTCTGTTTGTGCTTCTTCGAAAAATATTCCCAAAAATTAGAAATATGTGAAGAATATGGGGTTTGTGCCACCATTAGGTTGGCAGGAGGGGTGTGGTAGTAGGGGGTGGGCGTTGGGATTGTCATATGTGGTGGAAATTTGTTACAGTCCTCTAAAAATTAGGTATGAAGATTTTTAAAGTGTGTTAGTTCTATGGAATGTGGGGAAATTCCTGGGGAATCCCTTGTAGTATGGAGAAGCTCAATCGGTGCATATCGGAGATGTGTATGCAGAAGTTGGGAAAAATCGGGTAATGAGTTAACCGATGGTACTATTCCGTTGTAAATTATAAGTATTGGTGTTGATCTGGTTACTGTAATTGTGGTGGTGCTATATGGTGGGAAGTAATGATGGATGTCCAATAGGATCTGGGTGGTGGTTGCGAGTAGGAGCCGACACATTGACTGAACATACCCAGCAGTCCACAACTCGAAGTGCCATTTGTGATAGGTGGGTTAACATTTTTAAAATGGTAGGATCTTTTCCACCAGTTATTTTTCTCCATCACATTGTCTGAACACACCCAGCAGTCTACAATCCCCACTGTAGCATTTTACAATAGTGCTAGCAGATGATACAATACAGCTTAGTTATTTTATATTAGCAATTTATGTCATATTTTTGAATTATATTGTTGTCATCGTTGAGTTGTTTCTTTTTCATTTCACTTACTGATGCTGCACTCAAACTGAGCATACTTACCCAAGTTGCACTGATATATTTGATGGCAACTCTAGGACTGAATACCCAAAGAGGACTAACATTGTTTTAACATGTGATAATAATAATACTGATATGAATTATTCAAATAAAGAGAAAAATAATAGTTGTTCAACCAAAGAGATCAAAATCAAGATAATAAAAAATATATTTAGTACACAACCATAGATGAAGACACAAAAAGTAAGAAGATTATGTTTTGAAAGAGTGTATTGTTGTATTAATAGTAGGAAAATAGCGGGAGAAAATCTTTTAATTTTAATTTTGACTCTTCATGATGAACTCATCTCTTACTGGCCTCTAACTCCATAACGATCCTGTCTCTTTCTTGCATCAATAGTTTGAAAAAATCTCAACAGCACAATGCTATTGCTATATTTCATTTTGAGCTCATAAAATTTCAACTGATGCTGTTCAATTAGATTAGATTAGATTTGGTTCGGTTGTTATGGGTCTCAGTTACATCAGCCATCTTGTTGGTGCCTGCCGGAGCTTGAGTTGGACTTGTGTTGAAGGTGTAGTGTCTTGTTTTTTCTGATGTTGTCAACTGCTCCAGCCGTCATTAGAGGTGAGATTTCTTGAATTTGTGGATTTTTGAAGTGATGTTTTGAGTTGTGTGCCATCTCACAGTACTGTCCAAAATTTGTAATAGGTGTTTTAAAACTGAAAATAAATAGGAAATGAACATTGTGTCTTAGCGTCTCGGAGTATTTATAGGGTTAGGGTGGATTGTGAATGCAGAGAAGTCTATTGGTTAATCAATGTGTTTGTGCGATGATCTGTCGCTGCGGACTGGAGATTGCGTCCACAATGGTCCAGAATCATCTCCCATATTGTACCAATGTTTGGTGATGTTGGGATTGCAGCAAAGGTTTGTGATTTGTCTGCAGAAGCCTTTCTCTGTCACATAGACTGAACACACATAGCAGTCCTCACCTCAAACTGCCCTTTATAATAGGTGAGTTAACATTTTTCAAATGGTACGATCTTTTCCACCAGGTATTTTTCTCCATCACATTGACTGAACATACCCAGCAGTCCACAATTCGAAGTGCCATTTGTGATAGGTGGGTTAACATTTTTAAAATGGTAGGATCTTTTCCACCAGGTATTTTTCTCCATCACATTGACTGAACATACCCAGCAGTCCACAACTCGAAGTGCCCTTTATGATAGGTGGGTCAACATTTTTAAAATGGTAGGATCTTTTCCACCAGGTATTTTTCTCCGTCACATTGACTGAACACACCCAGCAGTCCACACCTCGAATTGCCCTTTATGATAGGTGGGTTAATATTTTTAAAATGGTAGAATCTTTTCCACCAGGTATTTTTCTCCATCACATTGCGAACATACCCAGCAGTCCACAATTCGAAGTGCCATTTGTGATAGGTTGGTTAACATTTTTAAAATGGTAGGATCTTTTCCACCAGGTATTTTTCTCCATCACATTGACTGAACATACCCAGCAGTCCACAACTCGAAGTGCCCTTTATGATAGGTGGGTCAACATTTTTAAAATGGTAGGATCTTTTCCACCAGGTATTTTTCTCCGTCACATTGACTGAACACACCCAGCAGTCCACACCTCGAATTGCCCTTTATGATAGGTGGGTTAACATTTTTAAAATGGTAGAATCTTTTCCACCAGGTATTTTTCTCCATCACATTGACTGAACATACCCAGCAGTCCATAACTTGAAGTGCCCTTTATGATAGCTGGGTTAACATTTTTAAAATGGTAGGATCTTTTAGTAGAATCCAAGCATTTGTGTGTAGAAAAGTCCGTCGAATTCGAAATTGTTTTCTTTGAGAATTATGTTAAGAAATTGCACGAATCTATTGTTGGGTGGTCTCGGAAGCGGAAGTGGAGTTTTGTCTTTGCTGAGTGAGTGTAAGACCGCAGCAATTCCTTTGTGGTGTCCAATATTGGTGTACAAGTTTTTGACGTCCATGGTGACCAAGAGGCTGTTGCTAGGGATGTTGCCTAGTGATCGGAGTGACAGCACCTCATTTATCAACCTGTTTGATGATGGTGTTTGTGGCCTTGCGTAAGACATTGAGTGCTTGATCTTCTTGATTGGATATGTTCGGGAAGGATGGAGTGAATGATTTGGTGTTTGAAATAAGGTCCTGGATGTAACTTTCGAGTTTCCTACAGAGTGAGGCAGGGAGTGTATTACCTTGAGAAGTGGAACAAGCGAAAGGATGGTTTCTGCATTGGGGGATGCCAAAGTATTTGTATTGCGCTCGTATGGCGTTCTTGAAGTGGTTGAAGTCCTGTGTTAAAGATGTGTATCGGGGTACCGTTTGCCTAGGGACAAAACTGAGGCCTTTGTCTAGTAGGGAGAGTGTGGTAGGACCAAAGGTCTGAATGGATAGATTAACAACAGCTTTGGGATTGTGCAGATTGTTTTTACGTGCAAATTTTCGGGCCTTACGGTAGTTATTTTGCTTAGTATGCTGGTAGCATTTCTTGAGTTTGAAATGTTTGTCACGGGTCATATTTGCTCAGTGAGTGTGTGTTCCGAGGAGAAAGAGGACGGACGGGGGGACAGAGATGGATGAGTTAAATAACCGGAAGCATGTAAGGTTGTATATACGTGTGAGATGGGATATGTGCTATCACGGTGATGGGTAGATACGTGTTTTTTACGTGGGATGAAGAGGATAAGGCTCAAATGTGAGATATTCAGTCATACAAACATAGCCCACACACGAGTAATGATTCATACATTGTTGAAATCATAAACCAATTTCTCTTTTGAAACAATTGATGGTCCTCAAAAATAAGATGTAGTTAAAGAGTGCCTAGGTTAGTTGTATCTGTAAAGCTTGCGAGGGTTGTTGTCAGAGGGTTGAGAAGAGCATTTTTCTCAATCAGCCGCTTGAGACTTGGCTCTCAGGATGAGGGCGTCGCTGAAGGGCTTGTCATCGATGATCTGGATAATTGATGATTCATGTAGAGATTGTTCTGTTTTCAGCTTTATTAGTGCGTTGGTGTGGTGGTCAGTTGCAGCAGATTGGAGGTTACGCCCGCAGTGGTCGAGGATGGCCTCCCAGATTGTGCCGATGTTTGTGGTATCAGGGTTGCTGCAGAGGTTCGAGATCTGCGGGCAGAAGCCCTTAAGGACTACCTTTGATTTGTTAGCTTCGTCGAGTACGCTGAGGGCCTTTGTGCTCTTGAGAATGCAGGACTCTATACGCCTAATGGAGTAGAAATCACTTTCAGCGTTGGTGGGACAACGGTCCCCGGGTGCGTGTTTCTTAAAGACAAAATCTATAGGTTTAATGCCCAATGCTTCCAAGGTATTTAGTTGGATAATGCCTGAGTTTTTAGGGGCCACGGATTTTTCAGCCATCTTGCTTGTGCCTGCCGGAATTGCAGTTTGTGTAGGTAGTGATGTGTCTTTGATGTTGTTTCTTATGTTGTCTATCTCTGCCGCCGACATCAGGGGTGAAGTATGCTGAAACTGAGGGTTTCTAAATTGATGCTTTTGTTTCTGCGCCATCTCGTAGTTTAGATGGAAAATGAAATAAGGTGTTTTAGAAATGAGAATAAATAGGAACTGAACATCGTGTACAGGCGTCTCAGGGTATTTATTATAGTGTTGGGGTGGATTGAGAATGCAGAAAAACTGATTGGTTGTTGGATTTTCGCACGGACGTAAAAGAGCTTCTGGTGTTGGTGCGTTTTTGTTGAGGGGCTGTGATTGGTTGAAAAGCGCGGACGTAAAAGATTGAGTTTTGGTAGCATGATGTCTGAAAAAGGACAAAATATCATTCTGTTTGTGCTTCTTCGAAAAATATTCCCAAAAAATAGAAATATGTGAAGAATATGGGGTTTGTGCCACCGGTAGGTTGGCGGGAGGGGTGTGGTAGTAGGGGGTAGGTGTTGGGATTGTCATATGTGGTGGAAGTTTGTTACAGTCCTCTAAAAATTAGGTATGAAGATTTTTAAAGTGTGTTTTTGTTCTATGGAATGTGGGGAAATTCCTGGGGAATCCCTTGTAGTATGGAGAAGGTCAATCGGTGCATATCGGAGATGTGTATGCAGTTGATATATTTGTTGGCAACTCTAGGACTGAATACCTAAAGAGGACTTACATTGTTTTAACATGTGATCATAATAATACTGATATGAATTATTCAAATAAAGAGAAAAATAATAGTTGTTCAACCCAAGAGATCAAAATCAAGATAATAATAAAATATATTTAGTACACAACCATAGATGAAAAGACACAAAAAGGTAAGAAGAATATGTTTTGAAAGAGTGAATTGTTGTATTAATAGTGGGAAAATAACGGGAGAAAATCTATATTTTAATTTTGACTCTTTATGATGAACTCATCTCTTACTGGCTTCTAACTCCATAACGATCCTGTCTCTTTCTTGCATCAATAGTTGGAAAAAATCTCTATAGCACAATGCTATTGCTGTATTTCATTTTGAACTCATAAAATTTCATCTGATGCTGTTCAATTAAGTGATGGTATTTTTGAATTTAGCATCAGTCAATTTTAAGTTGGGGAGGACAATTAGTTCATTAAAAGGTGTGTCTTGCTACAATAACATGTCCACAAAGATAGTTACCCCCATATTTGTTGCCATGACATTCAAAGCCTTTTTTTGTCCAATAGTTAATGTTCAGGATTGGAAAAAATATCCCCTAAGAAAGCCATTGTAGAGTGGTTCGGTTGTTCAAGTTTTGGAAGCACATATAAAGGTGAAGCATGGATTTTGGTATTCCTTCAGATGCATAACTTTCTCTTCTAGTTTAGCACTGAATTCATTTTTTGGAATGTTCAGTTGCTTATATCACTCAGTAAATGAGAGTTCAAAATACAAATTTGAGATGAGTAGTGGACCCATGGCTTAAAGTCTTCAGGAATTTCAGGAAATTTCAGGAAAAAATTCACCAAAATCTGACCCCATTGAATTCAATACAAATCTGGATTTTTTTTTTGTTAGGGGGGGGGGGGGGGGGGGCGTAGGGGGTCAAGCAAGGGATTCAAAATAAAGGTCAAATTTGTTGAATTTTTTCCTATGAAAAAAAACATTTTCCTCCACATTTGAAAGCATATGTATTTGGGTCTATATTACTCTAAAAAGCCCTCGATCAAATCTCATTTTTCCAAAATTTCATGGAAGGAGGACCTGCCGAAACCCACCGCTCGCTTGGTCCGCCTCAATACAATTTTCAGGAAATTTGAAATTTGTTGCTTTTATCCATGGTAGTGGATATTCATGGCACCATGGAAAATGAAGCTAAAGAAGGCCAAAGAAGTAATCATTCATTCAAATTTCTAGTGTGCAAAGGGAAGTTTGAACAACGGCTGCCTTTGTCCTTCAGTACACCAACTCACCATTTTTCTGCAGACATGATTCTGACACCTGGACTTCTTTTGTCTTGGTTATCTCAGTTACCACACATTTAAAAACTGCTTTTTTAGTAAGACAACATGAATATGAATGTTTGAGGAATCAGGTAGCTTTCCCTCTCCTTGTTTGCCATGTCACTGAGTCAGTGTATCACCATTATAGGCCCGGTCTTGTTTAAGCTCAATACATACTTTGTTAATTTATGGAAGGCTGAACAAGCCTGTTGTACAGGTACTATATGTTGTAGGCTGGAGAATATCACTGTTCTATATTTCTTACAGTTCAATTGTGAAAACCCTTACAGCGATTTGAAATCCCAGGCCTTCTATTATATACTATATATCTAAATATGTTTAGTCTTCCATGTTTATTTAACTGCAGTGTAATAATAACTGAGTTATGTTTGGATTAATAACACATGTATTTTTCCTATAAGTTAAACAAGAAACCCTATTAATAGAAATATCCTGTTATTTGATTTTTGAGTTATATTTACCACATTATACACACAATTTAATTTAGACGAAATGTAAGTAGAAAACCATATAGATTTTATCAATTGTAATAATCACTCGGAGTGTTTTGCAGTAGCTTTTCCCTATTTAAAGGATTAAATTTTGGTATTTTTAGACCATTCTCGTTCGGTTATTCGGTTATTATATTGCATGACAAAAATTGTCTCCATATATATATCAGCATATATTCCAGCAGGGGCTGTGACTATGCATGCAACTTTCTTTTCCTGTCACATATTCAAAAATACATTTACTAATAAGACTGCCTTATGTCACCAACCCACCTTTTAGATTCCTTTTATTATTTCTTCCAACAAAAAAATTGCATAATGAACATTATTCCAGTTCATCTAATTCCTGGTTAGTGGGAAGTGTAAAAGGAGTATGCAGTTTTTTCTCATTCTCATGGCAGGCAACTTCTGAATGATTGTACGATCATAAAGTTTGATACTTTTGAGGATCCGCATACTTTCTAGTGCTATCTCTTTTCCAGTTTTTGGCAAATGTTTGTAAGGGTTCCAATAATTTTTTTTGAAAATGTCATCATTGATTGCAATGAGAACCTGGGAAGCAGCATTCTGAATCTTCTGTCATGTATTTTTCTTTGATCTTTTCTTCATCTGACAGATTTCTTTACTAACTAATCATTTTTACTAATTTCACCCTCACTGGGTTTAGGTGCCTGTACAGTATTACTGAGATTATTATCACCAGTTTGGATGATGAGCACATGAGGACGAAAAGTATTACACACCAGCTAAATCCAGACACATTTATTTGCTCACCTATACATAGTTGTGAGTGTGGACGGAATCATTGTCATCTCTTTGATGCATAACAATTGTGAGTTCATTCATACTGAATAAATCATCATAAGAGTACAAAAGATAAACTTAACTAATACAGTAACAAACATTAAGATAACATCATAAATGTACATTTTTTTGCCAAGCCTCGATTAAAAATTTTCAAAGTTTTATAAGTATATTTTTGTTTGAATTCATTATTTCTCAAACTTCTGTGTGTTTGGATTTGTCAAATAACATTTAGGAAGGTACCTTTTTCTAATATAACTTAAAGTTTTGCATTCTAAAATGACATGAAATTCATCACCCATTCCTTTACCACATAAATCACAAAACCTATTTTCCCTTGGAATATTTTTAAAGTGGTGAAGAGAAATTAATAGAAGATGCATCATTTGTGCCTAACAAAATAAAAACTGCCTTCTTGCCCTTCAAAACATTACAAACACAAGTAGAAAAAAAAGAGTCTTGAAATTTGCCACCCCTTTTAGCAACAATAGCACAGTCCTGGGGAATTAGATTGTCAGGCAGATAGAACAGGAGACTATCTGATAAGATCAAAGATTTGTCGGATGGGACACAAATAAAAATATTCGAACAGAAATTTTCCAAAAGTGAAAAGAGGTAAAGTGGTGAAGAGAAATAATAGAAGATGCATCATTTGTACCTAACAAAATAAAAACTACCATCTTGCCCTTGAACACAAGTAGAAGAAAAAGGATCTTGAAATGTGCCACACCTTTTGGCTACAATGGCACAGTCCTTGGGGATAAACATATGACATATGGAAGAGTATTCTGTCAGATATAATGAGATATTTGTCAGTTCGGACGCCCAAAATTTGGAATGAAAGCATGCACACTTTAATTTGGTATGTTTGAAGTTTGTTTTTGCTCACTTAGTGTATTTTAAATATTTCCCCTGTGATTTCCAAAATCTGACATTTAACTTGAAGTTTAAAAAGTAATTACTAATTTGTTCAAATATTATTTCTTCCTACAAAAAAACGTCATAGTCTACATTATTCTTGGTTAGTGGGTAGTGTAAAAGGAGTAAAGAGAAGTTTTCTCTCATTCTCATGGCCGTTCATCTTCGGAATGATTGTACTATCATGAAGTTTGATACTTTTGAGGATCCACACACTTTCTAGTGTTATCTACTTTCCAGTTTTGGGCAATGTTTGTAAGGGTCCCAATGATTTTTTCTGAAAATGTCATTGATTGCAATGAGAGCCTTGGACCTTCTGTCACGTATTTTTTCCCTGATCCTTTCTTGATCTTCAATTTTTTTTTACTAATTTCTTTTTATCAGTCTATAGTGAACATGTATTAGTTACCCTCAACTCAGTAACCATCTGTCATCCATTTGACTCCCTTGAAAGCCATCATCTCTGTTCAGTGAAAAGACCTGACGGTTGGCCTCCACAACCTCTGAGTTACACCCAGCGACCCTGTTGGCATCCAGTTTGGAATAAGCCAAAGGCAGCAAAAGCTTAAATATGAGTCTAATGCATCTGCTGCTTCAGGGTGTCAAAGCTTCTTCACTTTGGCACCAAGACCTTTAACCTCACTGGGTCTAGCTACCTGTACAGCATTACTGAGATTATTGTCACCAGTTTGGATGATGAGCACATGAGGACGAAAAGTATTACACAACAGCTAAATCCAGACACATTTATTTGCTCACCTATACATAGTTGTGAGTGTGGACGGAATCATTGTCATCTCTTTGATGCATAAAAATTGTGAGTTCATTCATACTGAATAAATCATCCCAAAAATTCACACAAGTATAGTCTAGTAGGAA